AACGTAACGAACGTAACGTACGTACGTAACGTAACTAACGTAACGTAACGTAACGTAACGTAACGTAACCGTACCGTACCGTACGTACGACGACGAAGAGAGAGAGAGAGAGAGAGAGAGAGAGAGAGAGGATGAAACCTAAGAGAGAAGAAATAAACACACCAAAAACCACACTAGTTCTTTCGTTGCCAATGCTTTTGTTAACTCGTGTTGCTTCAACATCTTTTCGATGTTAGATTGGGCCTGCAAAAGCAACATTAAAGAAGTCCATGAGATTAACTCATTCCAAAGTGCTTCTGAATTCTCCATCCACATTCAAATTTTCTTTTTCTTTTTTGATTATTCTTTGTCCATGTAAACAAGAAATTCTCCGGTACATGTTACCAAAGACCGCATTGAGAATTGTGCACAGGTTTTCCAAGATTTCCCCAAAACAGTTTTCGAGGAAGTAAGCGAATTGATGGGAGGTATGCAGAGACAGAAAGGAGGGGCAGAGATTGGAAGGAGAGGAGGCGGCTCGAGGGAGCGTTTAAGAGGGCGAAAGAGAAAAAAGTACCCGTCATCTGTGTCTAGGGAAATGGGAGGAATTTGGGGGCAAGAAAAGGAAGTCATACAAGAAAATTTTTTACCTCGTTTGAATAAAGGACAGAAGGGGCTAAACACAGTATTAGGAGGGTTTGAGGCTGCATGCAGGTGTTCGAGATGTGAGTTATTTTTTAACACCTCAGTTTCAGGGAATGTGTACTATGTAAACCTCCATTTATGTTATGGGAAAGCTTTCTATGTTCCCCCTCCAACATAGAAGTTCTATCCTCTCCCTACCATCCAGTCGTCCATTTTTTATCAAGAGAGACACTCACCGTTTGATCTTAGATCCGACGTCTCAGAGTATTTTATTTTTAGTTTTTTTAATACAACTTTTCTGAATATGAAATTTGGTACATCCCATCTTCTCATTGGGACACACCTATAAAAAATATTAACAGTAATTTTTCCATAAAAGATAATAACCAAAATACCCCTTGAAACTTTTAAGGGATTTTGGTCATTTTATTTTATTGAAAATATTTTTTTTATATTTTTCGTTAGTGCAAGTTTAATAGAGGAATGAACGTCTAAAATTTCGTGTCAAAACAGTTTATAGAAAAAAAAAACTAAAAAAAAAATAGTGTAAAGGCGTGACATTGGGGCAATCTTAGCCCTCCATTCAAAAATAGACGTGTGGATAAAGGGGAGGATAGAACTTCTATGTTGTAGGGGGAACATAGAAAGCTTTCCTTATGTTTTTACCATGTTAGTTAAAAGAATAGGGTCTTAGGGAAAGTACTGAAGAATCATAGTCCTCGTGCCCATTAATGCATGCAGCACATTAAAGTCATGGAGAGAGGGGCACCCTCAGGTTGAATCATGTCCTCGGACCCATTGAATCATCTTTTACGACGACAATCACAGGCCATTGTTTACACAAGAGAGAGAGAGAGCGACAGGCTCCAGGAGTATGGTTTCCATAGCCCTCGAGATTGTAACACACTTCCATTTTGTAGAATCAAAAGAACCATAAGGACTCTTACCTGATGATGGTACACGGTTGCAGTCTTAAGGAATTTCCCATAAGCATGAACTGCTTTTTTAGTATAAGGTTTCATAGCAACCTGTAATTTCTCGACATGAGGCTTTGTAACAACAGCAACCTGATCAATATATGGCTTAGAGAACTTCTTAGCTTCCTGTGACCACATGGAACACCACATAAGTAGCAGACAACAGTGTAATAAACAAGTAACTGAATGCATAAAGAAATTTCTGAATGGAATATTGGAAACCAAAATTGCTCCAGGCATTCTTGATGTGTATACCTGCAAGTAGGGATCTGCCATTTCTTGTGCCTTTAGAATATGTGGTCTAATGGTACTCTTTGATTCCTCATATAGCTTAATAGTCTTCGTAGTAGCTAATTGCACATAGGGTCCAGCAAATGTTGTAAATGCCAGCCATTGCTCGTTCAAATAAGGCACCAATTTCTTTGGGCAGAACAACAAATACAACAATTAGTGATGAAACTATTAGTGGTATATCCAAGAACGTGCAAAAAGTTTCCAATTAGCTTCAAATAAGAAACATTAAGCATCCAAGAAAAGAAACAAAGATGTAAATCACACAATACAAAATGCAAGTCAAGCATTAATCTGAGCTACTTATTTCCCATGTAATTTCTATGGCACATATTCAGCAATACAATTATCATCATCATTATCATCATCCGAGCCTTATCCCAACTATTTAGGGTCGGCGACAGGAATCCTATTTCGCCATTTTGCTCCAAGCGCCATACCCTCAATACGATCCTATGTCACCAACGCGTTGCTTACAGGGAACACCCCTGTATGAGCACATAACATAGGTTCAAGATTTGGTAAACTTTTACGCTGGCTGTCCTATCTAACAACCCTCCTCCTTTACCTGGTCTTGAACCAGTATGACCGGCTTGCGGGCGGCCAAGGTGGTGATGCAGTCCATAGTTTATATTATTGTCCTCGACAGCTATCGCCAGAAAGATGCTCCTTGAAGGAGTACAAGGGACAGCAAACATGGATCATGATTACGTTAAATGTCATATATCCACAAATTTCACCAACCAACAAGCAAGTATATGTAAACTCTTCAACAATGACGCGTTCAGTTCTCTTTCTACACAATACCAACCTTTCCTGACCTCTGATGGCCAACTTGTCCGACCAGAAGTAAGTTTTCTAATATTGAATTCTCATGCAAGAACGCATGCATTCAAGTAATGGATAAATATGACATTTCTGCACTCGTTTATAACATATATAAATCATGATTGTGACAAGTAAAGAATTATTGAGGTATATAATATCATAACCTAAACCCATCTCTCTTTCTATCCAAGTAAGCAGTCTTATCAGCCACCAATTGGCCTCCCACGGAACATAAAAATCAAATTAGCTCCATGAATATTAGACAATGTCAGCTCCCCCAGCCTCCCCCCCACCTCCCCAAACCCCTTCCTCTCACACGCATGCACATGTTACGGATTAAATAACTCCCCAATTTTGTATAGCCTTAATCCAACCCCTGTTACTAATTATCACACATTTTTGTATCCATTTTGTAGTTAACCTATTTTCGTATTTTTGGTGATGTATTGTGTCATACCAATTATATTGTACAACTTCTCAACATTAATACAACTTTGTTACTAATCTGAAAAAAAAATAAGGGGGTTCTTCCCTCCCAATTTCATATGAATGGGCTTGTGCGAATACTCAGGCTCCCGAGCAGTGCTCTTCTATGTGACACATATACATACATGCCTACATTACTTGCCACCCACCTAACTACTTCCCTAACACATATATACAAATATTAGGTACGACCATGGTTTTAGCCTTAAGGGCATAAGAAGTCGCAGCAATATCTTCAGGTTTCAACACCAATACGTTCCAACACGAGGTTCAAAGTGGCTGCCCACGTAAACGCATGTGAATACCTGGGCCACAATGGGATGCTGCATTGCCTTGAGGTATTGCATGGGCATCCGTTAAGGTCACATTTTTACCAAAAATCCATCAACAAGCATGCAGAACATCAATCTTCGTATATTCTTAGGTAATTACTTAAAATACTTAATCCAAAACATAATTAAAAAAAGTTGGGCATGCCACCCTGGAATATTAACTTTAGCTTCAAAGGATATACCAATAAAACAATTTTCCATTATGGATAAAAAGAAAACCATTTTCATTTCGTTAAGGCAGCTTTTAACCATTTCCATTTCGTTAAGGCAGCTTTTCTATACCTAATCATAAACAAGTCAGGAATTTGCAGTTTTCATACTAAGCACAAATATTTTTATAGTCCATGACCTGTATTGTCATGATTGTCAGGAGAATATAAAACTTGGAGGCAGATAAATAGAGTTATATGACAGATTGCTAACCATTGCTAAACATTGTTAACTAGGAGTTATCCATATCTGCTATCATGGTTTTCAAATATAGAACCCACTTATCAAAAATAGATAAAAAGTTCAAAGCTAAGGTTTACTTAGGGCAGCTGAATTCGAAGGTCAAAAATGCAAGATACAACAAAGGCGATACCCACTAAATGCACCATTTACAGAAAAATATCAATACCATACAACAGGACTGAAAACTCTTCCAGAATTCCAGCAATTCATAGTTATTGACAATAAAGTTTTTTACCATCAATTTGAGCAAAGTGCTAGTTTGGATGTATCCAAAACCAGCACATTTTTGGTTCATAATCCAAAAATACAGTGATAAGCAGGAGGGAGGGAGGGAGCAGTTCAGACAACACTAAGTTTTAAAGATTGAAATTTAAAAAACTTCACTACTAAGGAACAGAAATCCCATATAAAAAATTCAATTCAGACTTGAATTTGCCCAGATGAGAAACTTAGCCTTCTCTGAAACCCACGAGGGCCCAATACGCAACATGCTCCCTCCCTCCTTTACCCCAAGCCCTCCTCCACCATTATCTTTAACAGCATCATTTGAGACAACCTTCATCACAACTATCCCTTTTATGAGGTTCTTCAATATAAGAACCCAACCGCATTCAATCTCACCCAAGAGCAAATAAGGCAAAGAAACCCTAAATTGAACAGAAAGTACAAACTACAACTTCACACTTAACCAAAGTGCTGCATGTTGATTTGGTCACATGTGTGGCAGCCATGACACTAGAACTTTGATGAAGAAGAAGAATGAAGGGAAAAGACCATAATAGAACCAGAAAGCCCAATACCAGAGCCATGGGGCAAATCCAGCAAGAGATTAGAGTGAGAATTGGTGTTCCCGAAACAAAGATGGGCTGAGGGAATACGGAGTTCACCGTACGAATCCATGCCTTGAGAAGGGTTCGAGATCCTGATTTTGCAGGACGTGCATATAAAGAGAAATTATTGGGTAGGTCTATCTCTCTGCGCTCATCCATGGCCATCTCTTAATGTGATTGAAAAGTGGTGCTCTTTTTTATTTTTGCCCCTTTCTTTCTTCTTTGTGGGTATTTTTTTTTTTTTTTTGTGATAATGTTAACCTTAAATTGAGTAAAAAGATGAGTACAAGAGACGTAGGCAACAAGGGTGGATGCTCTAGGGAAGAAAGTAAAAACAAAATAGGAATCCAAATCTTCTATTTGGGAATTCGTAAAGTGCTTTTACTATGGTTTTAGAGATAGGCTCAATAAAAGCTTAGGACATTTTCAATGCGGTGGAGAGAGATATTGAAACCCAATCAACTTTGTAAGAGTAGAAAAGCTTGCATTTTTTTGAGTAATGTGATCTTTATTTATTTGACAGCCAAACTACCCATAAGTGATAAATACAAATGGAAAACATGTGGACACTACAGGAGTCCAAAAGTCCAATAGCAAGAAAGGTCTTCAATAGAAACTTACCGAGTTAATTCTTTCCACGTGCGGCTTTATCAACGCCTGGGCTTTTGCAGATGTTTCTGAAGCCTGAAACATTGTAAATAGAATGGAAAGGAACCAATAAAAGGAGTGAAAATAATCACAAAATCTACTGAAATACATAACATAAAATGGCAGAAGAAACTACGACAGCAAAGATACACAAACTAACATACAATCCATAAAGCCCAGCTTAATGCTTAGTAGATGTAGAACTAGCTATTACCTTCCCAACAGCAATGTCCAATATAGGTTTCACATGCTCATGCCAGTTTGACACTGCAAAGGACTGCTCTAAGAAGTTAAATTCAGTGAAGAAACTAAACCACCAAAGGGCTCCAGCGATATTGATTCCAAATGTTTTGATACATTACCTGAACTTTAACAAAATGGACAGCAAGCCAAGGTGGTAGCCAGGCACCATGGACCTAACCAAGAAACCGAAAGAATATTGACCATCAATAGAAGTTACGGAGTTCAATTTAGGTTATATATCATATAATGATCTTATAAAGCAAAGGGCATCTGGCAAAAACTTTAAAAACACTTCATGATGAGTACATGATTCAATACCACTAAATGATGTCAACTAGCACTTCTCTGTTGTGCAATCAATTACAACATTAACACGGAGAGAAGAGCAGATGGCAAGGTGTCAAAACATTTTTCGAGCTCAATACCGTGGGAGGTCATGTCCCTTTTTCTTTTTGCTCTTTTTCGCACCTACGGTAGAGATTGGAGGTATCTGGCCCGCAAATGGGATATAATATATATATATATGGAAGAGGAATCAAGGGGTGGAAGATTGGTCCCTAAAAAAATGGTGGCCTCTATTTGCTCTCGTACTTGTGAATCAACAAGCATCAATTGATAACTCTGATTACACAATGAATGGAAACTATCAACAAGTTATCTGAAACCTCTTACTAGTAAACCTACTATCCTCCACCGGTACACTATTGCTCACATCACCCATAATATCATGTTCATCAAGTCGTCATCCACCATCCAAGCCCTTCGAAAATGTCATAATGACATTTTTGTATTAGTAGAGCTCTTGCATTCACCTGAGCAGAATCAGATACTCCATAAACCCATCACAGCACTATATATGAAGATGTTCATACCAGAAGGGCATGGATTTGCAGTGGAACAACCAACCACTAATATCAAGATGTCGAGATGTCCGAAATAAACCATAGTCAAAGTCCAACAAATCATCATCACCATCCAAGCCTTATCCCAATTATTTGGGATCGGCTAGTCCAACAAATCATAAATGCAAAGTTATTTATTTATTTTGGCACACTACCTTTCTTTTCATGAATGACAAAGGTTTGAATCATTGCCCTCCCTTGCACAAACCGGACATCACAATCAATAACAAGAGAACAAATACTTGACGACCCTATTAATCGAGCTCAATGTAATTAACTGTACAAGGCGACCGATGGTAAGAGAGAACACATTGCATATAAAGTCCAGGACCTCATTAAGCAAGGCTCCAGGACACCGCTATTTATTCAATTGTTAATTGCTCAGAGTTACACATGCCAACCATATCTGCCTGGCTCACGTCCAATTTACATGTAATTTGAAAAGGACATTTCAAATATACTTTTGTTTTTTTGAGAGAATTAACCTTGAATTAAAGAATGTGAGTACAATAAGCAAACCGCAAGCGGGTGCCCCAGGGGAAAGAAAAATCATATTAAACTAAATTAATTTACTTCCTTATTATTTTGAAATATCATTTTTTTGGAGAGAGTGTCCATGTTGAATGTTTTCTTCCTTGGTTTGCTTCAGCCCAGAATGCCTCTACACTCTTATATTTATATCCACAGAAGTGCCACATCCATATGGCGCTGATTATCATGTCCTAGAAGACAGAACTACTAAATGAACCAGCAAGTTTTAAATTTACCATAGAGAGCATATGAAAAGATCATTCATCAGCAAACATCAGGCACCTTTTGCCAATCAGATGTTAACACAATATGAAGAACCTCTCTAAGAAGCAGCAGTGCACCAGGAAGCTAGTATGATGACAAACCATATTCCTACCTCCGTCAACTTTTTGGCCTTAGATTTTGCTTCCAGTCGAGCCTTCAACAGGTTTTCCTAAGATAAAATGTTATTTAGTATGGGGAGTGCAAACGAAGGAGCAAATTAAACATACTCTGGGAAGATGGAGACACACCTCTGCCGCTTTAAGTGCTTGTTCTGCTTTACGAACTCGGGCTTTTTGCTCTTGAGTAATTTCTTGTAGCTGCATTGGGAAAAGATGGAAAATAGAGAAAGTTACTTCAACCTCAAAGAATACAATCAGAAGCACAGAGCATCCTCTTTAATCAGTTATGTTAGACTTGGAACACATGGAAACCATGTAAAGCTATTAAATCCAACATAGGACTAAAAGACAACGAACAAGAGGTGAAAGATATCAGAATTAATCCGGTTCGTCCATCATTGATAAGACACTAGCATGTGTTCTTCTAAGATCTTAAACAATTTTGGCACCAAGGGAGTATAACAGCTCATGTGAATCCATGATGGACATACTGTGCGCCAGTGTTTTTGCATTTAATACATGATCTAGGACATGTGAATCCAAAATCCACATACCATACAAACAATAAATATAATTTTCCCACAAATGCATGATACCTTCTTTTGAGAATGTTAACATTGTATTACTGTAAATTATAAATACAAGCAGTATCCCCTAAACAGGGGTAAACAAGTGGATAGATACAGCCAGAACTATGGCAAAAAGCTCCCATCAGGTAAGAGAGCCAATGGGCCCCCAACCTCTAGGGTCCAGGGCCAACGGCTCCCTCTTTAGCCAATTTATCCGCTAGAGAGTTACTCTCTCACCACACATGGTTCCAAGAGACGGAAATCCCCGCGCACAGGTGGGCTATTTCTTCGAACACATAGGCAAGGTTCCACGGATAGGTGCTCACCGACGAAGCCCATTGAATGATGTTGTGTGAGACTCCTCCTCACAAATACATGATACCAAAAGGCAGTTTAATATACATATTCGCTATGAGACACCAAATCTACAGAAAATGACTATTCGTTGACTCCAAAATGCTACTCCAAGTCCACCAATTAATAGTCATGTTTTTTACTCCCTCTACAGTCAAAAAAGCCGAAGTTTGCATATCACTCAGCTTGATGAATCACAGTGTGTGTGTGTGTGTGTGTGTGTGTATAGATATATACATATTCAGAACATTATCGAATAGAACTGCTTCTACTAGTACACTACGTGTTAATAATAAAGAAGAAGTTATTATCGATAATATTGAAAAACAAATCCAAAATTAGAACATCCCAAAAGTTCATACAACAGATGTTTATAAAAAAGGGACTTTTGAATTTAGAAGTAATTTCTCAATTAAAACAATTGAAAAAACTATTTCTATCACGGAAACTCAGGATCATTTCCAACTCCTATCATCCAGGATGGTTGAAGAACATAAAAAGAAAGACTTCAACTACCTACATATTGGTCTTGTCCAAATAGCCGTTAAACCCCTAACTAGGACAGGGTTAAATAACTCTGTTTTGCTTTGCTTAAGGGATAACAAATATAGAAGATTATCTATTACAAATATAGAAGATTACCTATTCTTTATTAGGAATTGTCGAGTCAACCCTTTGCAATGGATCTATCTATTTTAACTGCTTTCCAAATTTTTTTGTAGCCTTATCGGATCCTAATCTATTAAAAGTTCTAACCCTAAACCTTAAAACTCAAGGTTCTGATATGGACCCTGAATCTCAAAATTTAGCTTTTGTTTATAGGATCTGTTATGAAGTGATGAACACTCTGTGCCCTAATGCTAAGCAAATGGATACTAAGGGACAAACTATTTTCTTTCAAACTAATATGGATAAATCTAATTTAGTCATACCAAAGTCTGTATCCTGGAAACAAGTTAAATTACCAGAAAAATGGTCTCTCCAGTCTGAGACCCAGATCAAGATCCCTGAAAATAGAGAACCTGAACAGATAATTGAATATCCAAATGGAGAGATAGATATACAATTCCCATCTTCTAGAAGGACTAGGCTCAGTATTTCAAATACACTTCTTAGAAATCCACCTAGAACCTCAACCTCCGCTATTCCTCAATCTGTTTATGACAAAGCCCATAATGAGAAAATAGTTCTTGAAGGATTTAGAATGGCTCCAAATCAAGTCCAACATCCAATATATAAGATTGACACTCCCAGTTCTTCCCAAACTCAACTTGAAGAGCCAACCCTATCTGAATTTGATTTCGAAATATTAACAATCCAAAAAATAGACGAATTTATCATTGATAAAAAAAGGATTCACGAAGATTTCCTCTTAGACAAAAATAAACAAATAAGAGAATGGTTTTTTCAAGAATTTAAAGAAGAATTAAGAAATGCTTTTCGTATAAAATTTAATAAATTTATGATACAAGGCAGAAGAAATGTAAAATTCTTTAAATGACTTAAATACATCCTTCAAAAAGAAAGGATCAAACTTCCCGAATTTAAAATAAATATGGCTCTTTCATACAATCAAAGGTGAAAAAATAGAATCTATCCATCCCCCGGAATTAGGTTTACCGTTAAAAGGAGAAAAACATGAAATAAAAGCTTCACCTTTTAAGTTGGGACCTAAAGAGTCAGAAAACCAAATGGCCAAACTTGATGGAATACCACACTTATAGAACATAATAATTACACAAATCTCTTCCTACAAACAATAGGACAACAAACCACAAGAATTGAAAATGTGTTAAATAACTTGAAACCTCCACGACTAGAGAAAAAGCAAGCAAAGGATAAGGAAGCAGTTTTATTCAAACCACCACCAAGTATAGAAACAGAAAAATTCCACCTGCAAGGGATCAAGAAGAAAGAAGATAATAGAGAATTGGTAGATGAGCTAGTCAAAAGACTTGCAAAATTGAATATTGATGATAAGGCAAAATCAGCAATCGGTGAACTGCAAGTTCTTCAAAGAAGATCCAAATTATACAAGTCAAAACATATCTGAAATAGAAAAAGCTTTTAAAACCGAGAGCTTAGATATTAGCAGAATAGATTATGGGAGAAAAACTAGGCCTGTTGCTCCAACTATAATGTATTATCCTAGACCTACTCCTGTAGATCTTCAAATAGAAGAAGACCTTATTGCTAGTTTTGTGTCCTATTCAAGAAGATCAATTGTAAATTGGAATATAGATGGCATGTCTGAAAATCACATTCTTGACCTTATGAAACGCATAACAATGTATGTCACCGCTTGCAAAGCAAGTAGAAATAAAGATCATGAAATTGCCAAAGCTATCATATGCGGTTTTACATGATGGATTAGAGGATGGTGGGACTTTCATATGGATGAAGCTGCAAAAAAGCAAATCTTAAATGCTACTAAGCAATGGATTATTAAAACTAAAATCAGGCCTAGACAGGTCCAAAAAAATATAGTTGATGAAGGAGATGCAGTAAATACACTAATCTAATACAATCACACTTCACTTCGTGGGAAGTACGGGTCTCTTATCTGCTAGATCTGAGACCTACTTTCAAATTTACATTGTCCAACTCTCTCTCACTTTAAATAGTATAAAGACGTTTTTTATTCCAGATTATTATCTAGGGAAGATAGTAAGGCTAATCACTGGAAAGAAAAATTTATAGCAGAACTTCCCCATCTTTTTGCCGAAAAAGTCAAAACAAGACTTAAAAATAAACCTGATGGAATTATTCCCTATTCCCTTTATTACCCTTGATGAACTTTCAGCGGAAATCTGCGCTGAAGGACTTGCCTTATGTACTGACCTAAAACTGCGAATACAACTAGAAAAACAGAGAATGACAGGGAAAAACGAACTAGGAGATTTTTGTGAACAATTTGGGTATAATACTTTACCCACTTCTAAACCTACTTACAAAGACAAATACAAAAATTTGCGAAAATCAAAATCTAGACATTCACATGAAAAGAAAAATACTTTTCCCAAAAAAAATTTACAAGATCACTCTTTCAAACAGAGGGGAAAAACAAAGATACCAGTTTGCTACAACTGCGGAAAGGTGGGTCATTACAAAAATAAAAGCAGAAAGTTAAAAAGAAAATTAATGCACTCAAAATAGACCTAGATATCAAAAAACAATTATTTGATATTCTATTAATAAAAAAAGATGACTCAGATGAATCTTCCAACTCTGATAATGAAATATTAATTGGAGAAATTAATGATGAGAATTTGATCTTCACTAGCTCGGACTCTGATTCAGACTCCGAGAATGCTCCTGAAGATAATTGCCAATGTAATTTTTTAAAAAGCATCATTGATATGAATGGTTTAAACATAAATACTTTGACAAAAGAATGAAATCTTATCATAGAACTGATTGATAAAATTAATGTCCCTGAAAACTCGACCAAATGTAATGTGTTAAGAGAAAATTCAAAACTGTGAATATATTAATCTGTTGGACAAAGTCATAACTCAAAGATGGTTTACTATCGTCAAAATTGTTGTCCAAAAAGAATATACTTTCCAAACCACGGCCCTTATTGATTCAAGAGCTAATTTAAACTGTATAAATGAGGGCTTAGTCCCAACAAAATATTTTATTAAAACCACACAGATTCTAAATACCACTGATGGAAGTAAGATGATAATAAACTACAAGCTTCTGATGCGACTGTTTGCAATAACGGCGCTTGCTTCAAATTTCTTTTTATCATGGTTAAAGGATTAAGTCAACCGGTTATTCTTGGAACTCCTTTTCTAAATATGTTTTACCCAATAAAAATTGATAATACTGGTATTGAGGCTAACATTGAGGGAAAAGAGGTAAAGTTTACCTTCATAGATAAACCCAGAGTTCATGAAATAAATAATATCAGAGATAAAATCTCTACCAAGGAAAAATTCCTTTTTCATCTTAAAGAAGAAATCAAATATAAAACCATTGGGGAAAAAATACTATCTCCTCAAATACAAAGTAAACTTAGTAGTTTTCAAAAGTATTCTCGAAAAAGAAATATGCTCTGATGTCCCTAACGCCTTCTGAAATAGGAAACAACATATTGTTGAAATTCCTTACGAACCAGGGTTTGATGAGCAAAAAATTCCTACAAAAGCTAGGCCTATTCAAATGAATAGTAGGCTCCTTGAAATTTTCAAAACTGAAATACAAGATTTGCTAGATAAAGAGCTTATCAGAAAAAGTTCCTCACCCTGGAGCTGTTCACCTTTTTAT